TATCTCCTTCACTATTATTTGAATAGAACCGTCTCACATATTCAACGCGGATTATGCATAATAGGAATAACAAGTAAAGCCTAATACCCTCCTGTTGCTAAGAGATTATGATAGTTTAACGACAAAAGACATTGACAGTAGGTATTCTGAACGTTGGCGACAAGTGAATTGCCTAGCTACTACCTCCTGGTATAAACGCGTTAAGAAAAACATCCCGTTTTTACAGTTTCGCTAGAGGTGGTTTGCAAAACATAGGAACCTCAGGGAAGAAGATATAGTGCTTATGTCCAACGAAGTAACAACACGAGGTGCGTAACCAACGGGAATAATTGAAAGGTTTAACAAGGATATGGATGAAAAAAGTGAGAACTGTGATGGTGCGTAAGAAAGATGTTGTAAAAGGGAGGCATGAAGATGTTGCCGTCTTTATGCAGTTGGCAACATATAGATCTAGGGTCTTCGACCCCAGAAGTAAGAGATAGAGTCATGAAAAAAATGCACTAAAAGGTGTCTTGAAGGAGGTCTTGGAGGGATTTTAGTGGCTGGTGTAACGGGAAGACTGCTTGAAAAATCCTTCCTAGACGTTCGAATCATAATATTTGGGCTTATTTGGATGTTTCAACTAACTTTGTAATTATTATCCGTAATTCTCCCATATCATTATTTTGACATTTGCATATTATATGCTGACTCGATCAGCATTATATGTCTTTGTTCCTATTTAATCTCTAATTTTGTTGCTTCTCTTTGTGGGTGTGTAACCATGTTGATAATGTGTTGTTTTGTTTGAGTGATTCTGTCCATGGACTGTCTGCGGGAATTGTTGATGTATGATTCTTGTTGTCAGAGTTTTTGATCCCACCATGTTAAAAATATTTCACCTGATTTTAAGTACTTGCTTTGTACTTAGAAAATTAACTGAACTGTATAGCTGCCCAACGGCACTATTGAGGTTATTATGAGTTTTTGACGCTATTATCGTTGAATAGAACCACAGATTCCAGCAACAAATAATCGTCTTTTCACTGTCTTTAAGGCGCTTTATGACTACGAATGTCTCAAGGAAATTTTGTCAGCTATACAGTAGCATGCAGAGATCGGTCACTTGCACTCAGACTACAACAAGTCGGTCTTCATCATAACAACTGTTTTTTGTTAGTTGATAATGACGATTAAATGTTGTAAAATAGCAGCATGGTACATACTACTTGTTGCTGTGAGTAGTACTCGGTAGATAGATGAAAGTGATTCTAAACACCAGAATCCGTTTCCGTCGTTCAGGATCGAGGTCATCGGTGGTGCACCAGTTAGTCTTACTCAGCTCAGAGAGGAAAATCACTTCAAGGCATGAGAATTCTGACTGCTTACCTACCCACTCACCAAAAAGAACGCTAATTGCTAATGTTAACAAGAATTCATTTCTAACCTGAATAATATGAATATAAAACTGTACAACCTAGCGAGAGAGAGAGAGAGGGAGAAAGTTTTTGAAAAGTCTACTCTGTCTACGCTTACTAATCTATATTAGATTTTCTCTTTTCAATAAGAATTGTTCAGTTAAAAAAAGGTTAAACATTTTTCACATTACACACTGTCTACGATCGTTTACAACTCAGTTATATAATATTATTTAAAGCTGTTAAGCGTTCAAAATAACTACTAAGTTCTCATTAAAACAAAAGTTTAAGGTGTGTTGTGAAGACTATAAGGAAGGAGCGAAAAGGAGATGGGGCAAATGAGTAGATTACATGAAACTCTCTCTCTCTTAGTACACTTAACTACCAAACACTTCACAAATGCTTTACAACACTTCAGTGCATAATATTAATAATCATATAAATTATGCATTTGACTCGTGGAATGATTCCGTAAATGGCAGTGAATGTAAAAAAAGCACAATAAGTGACTCTGTTTCGTGTTTTTTGGTAGTTGCTTTGGTTAAGTAACCTAGACAATACAGACAACGTTAAAATCGCTAGTACAAGTGAAATATATGGGGAGGGAGACGCAGGCCACCCGACTACCTCCCTCAAGATGCCAGCGGTCAATGGTTCTCTATCGGTTATATCAATGCGCGATCAAAAATAAAACGAATCCAATCTCTGGCTATAGGACGAAGTTGTCTGGAGTTCTAGTGAGAAATCGTAACCAGTGTGGTCCATTCGGTCGGGAGTGAGGACAAATACTCGTCACCCATGATATTACCTGGTGCAAATCACTCTGAAATCATGAATTATTCGAAGTTAGAATTCATTGGATGGCCATTGAGTCGTGTTCCATTGGCTGAATGGTTAACAAGCTTGCCTTGTAACTGTAAGGTCCTGGGTTCGAACTACTGTAGTGGGTGTGTACTCTCGACGAGAGCCAAAATAGCACAACGGAAACAGCTGTCTGGTACTCACTGTTGGTTTTCAATGCTTCCCTGTCTGATATATCAATCCGTGGCCAACCTTGGATCAATGAATGGTTGCAGGCTGTTGGTGAAAGAACTTCAAGACATCACGGTATGAAACCTTCTTTATTCTATCAGTGAACAAACTCATGTGTTGTGTTGTGCTGTGCGTGTGTGTCTGTGTGTGTGTGTGAGAGAGAGAGAGAGAGCTGAGTACAAACACTAACTAACCACGTGCAAAGCGGAATAATGCGGTAAAGTAAAATGATTGTTCACCTGATATACATATGCATATATACATATATGTTATCCAATATAATAACATTTAGAGAAAAAAATAATACATAAAAACACACAAACACAAAGTATTAAGAATCAAGGAGAAAAGAAGAAAAAAGGAGAAGAGAAAGAAAACGACGACGACGACCAAAAACCATGAATCCCATGTGAGAAGACGGCTTCTCTCTTCGTTTTCAGATATAAATCCTTCCTGTAATGTATTCGTTAGGATAAATTCTCTTTATCAATGCACATGCGTAAGTAAATATATGCTATAGAATTGGAGAAAGTGATATGGAAATTGTTGTACAAAGAGTGAGGGTGAGAAAGAGATAGAGTGAGAGAGAGAGGGAGACAGTGAGCGAGAAAGAGGAAAAGGGGAAACTTTCAATTGTTAATTATTGTCAGTATATAGTATAGTATTATGTGAGATAAACTTGTTGGTAAGTTAACAAAGTTGTTTGACAATATGCATAATATGCATACGATAATGACGTAGAAGCGAAAAAGAACAAAACAAACGATGTTCTAATAAGATAACATATTTTCTTTTCAAAGACAGGAAGAACTTGTTTAGTTATGACGTAGTAGCATTACTAGCTGTAGTAGCTGTAACAGTAACATATCTATCATATCTGTGTGTATATGCAAACACTGATTTTAACAAACGTTAACAAGTAGAAAGTTGAATGTTTCGTATTCGACTTTTCAAGGTTCACTTGCCACAAACACCTACGCAACCCAATCCCCCTTACGTAATCTCTATGCTTGTGGACATTTTATCTGCAAGATGACATCACAGTAAAAAAAATTTTTTTTAATACCTAAGAGATTCACACATGTATTATTCAGTGTAGCGCTTAATTATCGACACAGGAACCCAGCATCACCACTTACTAGTGATTCATGTGGCCACATTCCATCTCAGCACATCACCCTTAGATGATGACGAAAACAAAATCAAGATCATTAACAAAACTGCCAAATTTCATTGAATTTCGACTTGCTTGCATCTTCTTTAACATAACAGATGGGAGTAGACGGAAAGATAGGCGTAACCCTTACTCTTCCGGCACAAAAGATGATAAAGTACAAAATACTTCACCTGAATGTTTTATGGAAAGAAATATGAAATCCTTCATTCTATACTGTTTGGAGGATGGAGTAATGCAATAAAAACGACGGTGGTCAAACGTGTGCGACCTACGCGAGTAAATTGAACACGCCAGCTCAGCCATAAGTGTCAGAAATAACTGAAAGAAACATACACTTTCGGTCATTATTGTGTCTTTGTGAAGCGACAGCAATTAAGATAAGAACTCAAAAGAATTTGAATGACATAAATAAAAAATTTCATCCAGACATTCCGGTTACAAGGCGATTACTAGCAACCAGTCCTATTCACGCAGATAGTTTGGTTTCTAGTGAGAGTTGATGACCAGCTGTGGGGTAGAGCAGGACGCGTGTGAGGACAAATACTCACCACAGATGACCATTGGCTAGTGCTAGTCGCGTCATATTGTCAATTGGCAGAAGTTACAGTTCATAGGCTGACCTTCGGATTCTGTCCTTAGTGGCTTAATAGTCTATGAGCTCGCCTTGTAACCCCAAGTTCCAAGGAAACTTATCGTTCTCCACTCCAAAACAGTAAATCACGTGTGAAATTGTCATGGATAAGCACGAAAACTAAACTTGACTCAGTTGTTTTGCACTAAGCAGTTTTCAGCAATATAGATGGTATGCATACACGTAAAACTTCACGGGTTCGAATCTCAGAAGGGAAACGAGTTCCTTCAGGACTGCAGATATGCCTTGCTGACTATTGAGCGACAATAAGCGCGAAAACTAGGTCATGATGGAATTCCTACCGACTGCTTCCAACCACCTAATAACAACAACAACAATTCTAAGTGCATCATGAGGGTAAGCCATCTAGCATGCATGATGGCCAAAACACTGCAAATTTGACTGACAGAATTCAGTCTAAGCCAAACAAAAGACGAGACAAATGATACTACTTTACTAACTTGTATGCAATCAAAAAACCTTCAATCTATTTGTGTGGTTCATTCATCAAATGAATGAAAAGTTTATTCTTAAGACTGAACATATATATATACCATCAAAAATCAATCGGGATGAGTTGAATACATACTCCCGAAATTCAATGACAACTCTTAAAGTAGTAATCCCTGCATTATTAAAAGGTTATTATCGAAAAGCAGAGACTGCATAAAATATTCATCAAAAACATTTTCATCAGGATTACAAGAGGAGACCAAAAGAAACATAAATAAATAAACAAATAAATAAATAAAGATGAACTAACCAGTTTTTGACATGCCAACAGCTAGACAACGTTGAAATCGACAACTTTTACACATATTCCGATTAGCTGGTGTAATTGGACAGTCATTATTGCCTAGACATTCTAAGCGTACATTGGATAGAACAGTTCGTCGGAAAAAACCCTAAATTAAAGGGAATAAAATATAATAAGAAAAACGGCTTTTTTTTATTTATAAACAAATAAAGGACAAAGGACTAGGATTCATCGAAAGAAATTATTTTGAATTTCCCGCTGAAAAATCTATAAGACAGCGGAATATCTGTCATGTATCCACCCACCCCCCCCCTCCGACTAGACACCATCAGCCCGATAACAAGAAGTAATGCAATCATCTCTTGAGTTGTAAATGCGACTTGAGGCGTCATTTTTTTAAAACCTGTCAAAACAGATTTCAAAATATGGGTCAACTTAAAAAGCAACTGTAACCTGGCTGGCTGGAAGCATCCCATTTCTCTAATCAATGAATAGGTAGATAAGAACCGTCCCCAAAAATTGGAAAGTCATCATAAAAATGGTACAGTTTCCCCTTCACTCTATAGTCCACTCACTTTTTTCCCTCTCTCTCTCTGTCTCTCTCCATCACACACACACACAGGTGCACATGCATACAAGCGAACAAACAAACAACACAGAGGTGTATAGCCTGATGAAGAGTACACATTTTTTTCTTCTTCCAATAGTGTCTACCAATACGAAAATAGATACAAGACAAGACTCAGACAGCGTGAATATTTGGTGTTCATATTCTAGTAGAGTAGAATACGACGAGATGGGTTTAGGGTGGCGTAGAGGCGGGGGGGGGTCATAATACCAATGAGAACAGAGTTTAACAATTGTATTGTGTTACACCTTCAACAACTTAAAAATCAATTCTTTGCAAAAAAAAGAAGAGAAGACTACATGAATGTTTGTAACAAAAATAGATTTTTCAATGTCGTCGTCTGTTGTTTTCTGTTTTAGTTGGTTTCATTCCTTTTTTTTCAAAAAAATGTAGTGAAACTCGAGTTGTTTTCCTATATTATCTGTAACAAAATATTAGTCGTAAAATTGTTACATTATTGCTATATAATTCATAGCACATATACATATATATGTGTACGTAGTAGTGGAGATATGGTATTACTATTTATTACTATTGCCGTTGTCGTTGCTGTTTTTTAGCTTTAAGACTATGAAAGATATGCATGTGTAATGAATTGACAAAACTTTTACCACCCGTCCTCCCACCTCACCCCCCCAAAAAGAAATTTAAGATACAGAAAACCTTGTTCACCACCAAGTAATACAGAGTAGGTAATACGAATAATAATAATAATAAAACGAAGTAAAATGTTCGACAATTTAATAAAAAAAACTTAATATTAATTAGAATTCTCAAGTTTGTAGAGGTTTCCTTGAATTTGTTATGCGCTAACATCAGAGTTTGAGAAACATTGAAAACCTTAGTAGAGAGCACACATTGGAAAGTTGTCTTATAGTCTCCAGATTGGGATTCACTGACGAAACCAAAATCATCGATACACTGAATGAAATTATCCTTGAAAACCGATAAAATTATGAACAAATGTTTTCTTTGATTTTCATTTTTTTCCACACCTTATTCCAAGTTCTGAAAAGCAACGGCTACCTCAGAAATTTATTAACAAGTACGGAAGATGTGAAAGCACAAATGCCAAACAAAACACAGTAATGAAAAAGCCAGTCTTCATTCATCTCGATTTTAAAGGAGACAAAATTTGAGGAATAGTCGATAGACGAGTAAATACGTCAGTGGCTAGGAATTATCCTGCAGCTAAGTTGGTTCCTGTTTATCGAACAACGTGCTCTTTGGTGTAGTCAGATGTTAACAGATACACTTCTCATGTTAACTCTAACTGTTTCTACGAATTTACATGTATGCGTGACAGCAGTTATACAGGGAGAATAGAAAGAATGGCACACATTCGATTTTCTGAAAATGTAGCAAAAAGTTTATGTGTCAAGGAAACAAATGCTTACGATAGTGACATTGCCAGACGTCTCATCCGAACGGTCATGAGATGGACCCGTAATCCTTTAAAATTATCGATAGACAAAATAGTTCAATCCTCTCAAGTTTGCGAAGCAATCTCTATCAAACGCCTGAAACCTGATTTGTGTGTTCAGAAAAAAGCAGTTATCAGATTTCCCTTGCCGTGGCAGCCGGATGTCTCTTTTTATTCGATTATGCAATCCTTGGTATTGACCTCTCCCCCTTTGATATAGCGTTACTTTGCTAACCTCTTGTTTCTGTGATTTGAGTCGAACTCAGCACATTGTTATTCAATTTATTAGTTACTTCCCATCTTTCTGGCCCCTTGTCTTTATTACGTAATCCCTTTGTCATTGTAAGCAAACATTTATTTTTGTATAAACTTGAATACTCTGGATACAAAGTGTAATTTTCTGAGCACTCTTTACAAAGTTTCGAGCCTCATTTTAACTGTCATCATTTAACACTTGTAAGTATTTTCAGCTGTACGTAGCTGATGAGAAATCAACGAAATAAATGATCGTACCAACCTATTATAGGCTTACTGTTGTTCACAGTTTTTTCATATTCCACATTATTCTGCATCGATGAACAATGCTTACCGTCTCATCTTTTGTCACCTGAGTACTTTTTCCAACTAATCAGTAGCAACAAGGTAGATGTCTTGAAATTCTCAGTGAGATAGTCGTAGTCAGGTGTCCACCATCGTTTCAGGAGTGAAGCAGATTTTCATCGATAGGATTGGCTGGAGATTGGGCTGTATATCACCATCCGACGTAGGCTAGAATTTAAGAGTCATTGAATTTAAACCCATTAGTGACTGAATAGTTAGCGAGATCGCCTCATAGAGTGAATGTACAGTTGTACATCAGGTTATGTCAGTGGTATGTTCCAGACTAAGTCGAAATAGCCTCTTCAGCATTCCCGAGTCCCCAAATAATTCCTTAATTGATATCAGTTCGTGAAAAAGTCTACATTGAAGTAACGTTACTAGTTGAACAATTTAAAATAAGTGGGAAAGTTATTGATAGAATTGGACTACTTAAAAACATTTTGACTTAGCCAATCAATATATATTTCAAAAGGAAGATAAATATGACAAGTGGGGTCGTCATATCGCACCAACTAGAGGCCGTTGAGACACCTTGTTGGGAAGCTCCACCAAATAGACTTAAAAACCCAGCCAGTAACTACACTGAAGCATTTACATAAAATGCTTCTAGGTTTCCAATCATTCTGTAGTTGATTTTCACCACATAACCTATCGGTCAAAGACATACATGTGTTGTGAGTGGGAGACCATTTTCCAGCTTGTCAACGAAGATTATGATTAACCTTTGTTGTCTATTTGTACAATAGTCTTATCCATCCAAAGAGTTTAGAATGAAACAAAAAGATGTTTCAGATTACTGCATTATATCATAAAGAAACAATTTAACAGATTTCAGTAGTGACTTCACAAAATACCAAACATTAAAAAGTATTGGAATTGTAATTACGTAATAAAGAAAGCGGCAAACATAAAGAATAGTGACCGTGGAGTGCGAACGCACAAGTGACCTTGAACGCATGGCATTCGTTGGATTACAGAACCTGCCGTGCTTATCTAAGTGACGTAATTGAAGCGTAATGCACTTTATTTTAATTTCAATCCCTCATACTCCCTCTCGCTTATCTATTTGAACATTCGCAGCTGTCTTTCTGCATGATTAATTCAATGTAGTTTATTTGCTTATCAGTCTTATATCTCTCATGTAATTTCAATAATATCTATATATCCCCGTATGTAGAGTATTCAGATGACGAGTTTTACCGAAATCCTGCTTTATTAACTTTTGTTGCTTGTTTTATATTCAACATCGAGCAGCCGTTTATTTGCGAGAAAAACTGACATAATTATATTGAAACACATTTAAGATATTTTAACCTGACATAACTGAAAATAGATCCAATTACAATGAAGGGTATCAGTTCTCAATTTCCACAGGAATCAAAACGGCTCCATCTGTCCTTCTACTATTTTACCCACAAGAATAATACAGATAATAATAAAAAACACCCTAACCCTAATACTGATCACAACCCTAACGTGTTATCAACCCATTATCCAGAGAGTACTTAATAAACTATATTAGGATGAAATCTCCACCTCACTTCGTGTACCGTGTTTATACTGGTGCTGTAATAACGGCGGGTTCTGTAATCCAACGAATTGTATGCGTCCAAGGTCATCAGTGCGTTCGTACTCTGTGGTCACTATTCTTAAGCTTGACACAGAAAGCGTTAATCAGGTAATAACTAAAAATAAAACTTAATAAGTGAATAGCATGACCTGATGTAACTGACGAGATTGAGCAGAACTCAGATAAAATTTGAAGCAGAGTCAAGATCGATGTCATAAGGAGTACAAATGTAGTATTGAAAGGGGTGGGTTGGAGAGAAATAATTAAAGAACTAACAAAATTAGGATTAACAGCGAACCTAATTCGTCTTAACACTGGATACGTAAATTCTTATTCTCCCCACCCCCACCCCCCGCCGTCACTACTACATTTTTACTCCTTGTGATACTGACCTTGACTATTTCCTTATCAATAAAAATGTTAGTTGAGTTCTGCTCACTCCCGTCAATTATATTATGTCATGCAATTTACCGATAAAAAAAAGAGTATTGTAACTGCTGGTGAATATGTCAAGAAACTCTACTCCATCAATATTTATCACTGGGGTTAATATAGTGCTGCCAAGTCAAGAGTAGTGTGATACAACACTCTGAGTTATGATAGTCAGATTATAAACAGCCTGTCTAATTATAATATACTCTTAAGTCTTTCGCCTTTTTCCTATTCGTGCTGACAAATAACGCAATCTGATAACATTAGCACTATATACGAAGAGTGATTTTTATATACTGCTGGTGCGTTCTCCTCCTCCCTCTCAGCTGGATTGGTTTAACTACATAGCTTTCGTTTTGTTCTTCTAAACAACATCTTCGAGGTTAGTTAACCTCGAAATGACAGATAAGAGAGCACGATAACGACGACGACGACAACAACAACAACAGAGACATACTCTAGAGCTATAAATCGTATTCTTCATTATTTCCAAATTAACATATAACTATTATAAATTATTTTCAAGGTATCGATTTGAATTTATTTGAGATTCTTCGCTACACTATTTGTAAATGTTGTTATTATTATTTTTTATTATTTGGCTAATCTAGAGTTTCAATAAACATTAAATAGTACAATCGATAGTATAAACCAGAGGAAAAATATATGTATTTCAATGATGAATCGACGTTGAGTCTGTAGAAAGCAACAACATAGAACTTTGCACAGAAATGGACCACTTCTAGTTGCTACACCCCATGTAGCATACCAAAAGAAAAGAGATTTGAAGGTATGATTTTAGGCAGAAAAGTGATGGAGAAAGAATCGTCACATATATATATCCAGTAGCGGATCAAAAAGAGTGAATTCATCATCTGCTCCACTGAGAACAACTTTCAGTCATATTACCAACTATCTCTAGCCATTGGTCCTAGTCCTCCTCACCTAACCTGAAAATTACTCACATTATTATACCATCTAATATGAGAGATAGAACAGAGACACCGACGATCAAAAACAGTTAGCCTTTTAGTATGTTTAACTTCAGTGACCATCCATGTCTTACAGCTATCAGGGAGGACGGAGCGAACTGATGAGGACCACACATCTCCTTTGATCGATAGCCAGCCAGATATCACGTCTATGCCAGAGATGAAGTAGACTGGCGAACGCCACATGATCCTTTTGCATTTGTGCTGAGATTTCGTCAACAATTAGTCCAGCTGAGGCTGATTTAACTTCCCAAATTAGTGAAGTGGTAAGTCGACACACTCCACCACTTTTCTCCCTATTTTTAAGCTAATAGTCGATGTAATCCAGTCGTGTATTATCACCTTACATTTGACAGAAGGAAATCGCATGTTAAACGTACAAAGACTGCTGCTTTAGGTGTTTAGAGAAGTCTGCATTTGATCAGCGTCATCGCCTGGGTGGACTGTATCATCCGTATATACTAAATCAACAAGACTATTCCCGGTAAAAGTGCAATCCTTAAGTCGCTGAAGTCAGTTGGGGTTAATTCCATTAATCCATGAGTTCTTGATAAACAGTTTGACTCATCAGGATTCTCTGGATTCGTTTCTAGAGAAGCAAGAAAACAGGACTACAGATTCCTAGTAATATGACCTCTAATCAATTAAAATGATGCAAGTCTATCCACTCTTTATCATCTTTGACTTTTGAATAGTTTTCGGGAATATTCATTCAGTAGCAGTGATTTATTATTTTAACTGTCTTTCAAAACTCAGGTTAAAAAAGAAACTAATACACAAAGATACTGAATAAGGAGTTGACGTCCCAGGCGGTTGGGACTGATAATGTGGTGGCTTTTCTAAATACTCTACACCTCTGAGTAGTGAATTTCATCTAGGATGGAATATATATAGAATAAATGAGCTACATAATTTCTGTTTTTATCACTGTTAACATCACTATGAGATGATTCCAAACACGGAAGAAAACAACTAGGGTTTGGTTATTCGTTTCCCCCAACGATTTCCTGTTTTGTAAGTAATGAAAAAAGGGCAAAAAAGGGATTGCCAAGGTCATGTTTACATCAGTCAATCAGTTTCTTTGTCTGTTTGAACATTGGGGGTTTAGTCACCCATACTGAGTTTATTTTATTGACCCAGATAAAAGGATACATTTATTATCACATATTAAGGATAAACACACACACACATACAAACACAGACATGCATACCCCAACATATATATATATATATACATGCAACGAAACCATACACATAAAGGTCATTCAACCGAATACAAAGGTCATATTTCTCTGACCTTAAAAAATAAGTGCAAGACAGATAGAGATAGATTAAAAGTTCATTATCGCTATTGCACAGACAAAAAGGACACTGAACTGAAAACAATACATCGATTTGATGAAAAAGGAGCACTAGAAGGTTTGATATTAAAAAGAAAGGTTAAACTTATTTCTAATTCTGATTGTCATTTCTCAATATAATGTTTGTGTTGCTTGTAAAAAATTTCGAATCAACTCATCATAAACTGTTATCAGCTAAGGGGAACCGTTGGTAACCAGGTAGTCCTAGTTTAGGACTCTTCAGTAGTGCGCACGAATGAATCTCACTTCAACCCCCGCCGCAATTACCTACGTGACAGATTTAAAGGCTGTGAGGCAATCATGCCAACATTTACCTGTTGTGTAGGAATAGCACGTTCCATAAATTCCAGTCTTTGTCAATTCGTAACGTATATGTCCTCAAACCCAACTTCGTGGACCCCACTGGTCACGACTAGACAGCCACAAAACTCCTCCCAGTAGCCAGTCGCTAATGAGGAATAGATCAATTTTCACTTGTTGACTAAGCAACTGCTTATGGGATGATTCACTTAAGAAATCAAAAGACTCTCAGTTCAATTATCGTAACATTTAACCGAAACATTTGTTAGTATGACATGCATAACAGATCACCAACTTATTATTATGTAATGAAAATTATCATCACACTCACTTTACAGCCTTCACAAGTTAATGCACCAAAATGAAAGCCAGAAGATGGACCACTGCAAACACGACAAGGTATCTGGGAAATATCACAGCCAGCTTCACCACCGGGAGCTGTAGAAAGGTTAGATAGGAGACGCAAAAAAAAAGAAACAACACAGATAAATATTGCACCATATAAAAATTATGCACACATACTGAATATTAATGCTTAGCAAAACAATAACATGAAGGTAACTGTTGCCAAGGGTGACGAGCAGGAGATCGTGCGAAAAGCAGATGACAGATTATCGGCAATCGTGGACCCAGCTGCGGAGGACAACACCGAATAGGACAAAGTAGAGATGTGTTGTCGAAGCACTGTTCCACTCCGAACCCAAGGGAATAATAATATACTAACTGTTGCCGCGAAAATAGAACTAACTTATTGAAATTAAAACTAATAATTAGTTCAGATCATAATTAACTCATTATCAAGGAGAGAGAACGTTAACATCCAATCAATAGAGCGGAATCTACCTCCTCTCGATTCGCTTTGATTTTTTTTTATTACAGCTTGATTCCACACTGTTGACTTCATGGAGCAGACCTTCTTGCTGCATTATTGAACGCATCAATAAATATCAGACTACTGTTCAGTTGCAATGTGTTTAGGAATGTAATGTATTACACTGTCTTTTTTTGTTGTCAAATAGGCCATTTGGGACCTTTCATCGTCGAATGATAACGTGCTCACACCAAGAGATCTAACATTGTTTTTTATCTGAAAGATAACTTCATCGAAATAAAAGTGAGAGGCAGAGTGTGTTTCGCGTAAAACAAAAAATCACTACTAAAGCAGTCATCTCTGCTACATACTTCAGCAAGAAGACTGTTTTTCAAGGTGGTGAATATCACAAAAATCATTAAATAATTGAATTTCTACCTTTATGAAAAAGAAACTTGGTTTTAGTGTAACGCACTTGCATTGCTGTTAACTACACAGTTACCAGGATGAGAATTCGCATGTACTTGACCATGAGCCACGGTTATAGCGCCAGAGGTGACGATACACTACCCAATACCCAGTTTGAAGAAGGCGGAAGGAAATTCAAACCTGGGCTCGATTAGCCAATCAATTAGTCGAGTGATCCAAACCAATGGACCACATCTCTAATTGGACTTACACTCGAGAAATTATAATTGATTGCATCCCTGTGGTTCCTTTGCTATGCACGTGGAACATAGGGCTTCAAGCTTTCAAGTTTCAGTAGCTCGGGAGTTGTTTTTTACGGGGTGGGATGATTGCTAGTCTCACGCCCAACATCCCCTGTATTCCCAGCTTACTATTGGCTAGTAACACCTAGGGTGAAGTTTAGGAGTGAGTTGGCTGGAAGTCAAATCCGCACCAAATGCTTAGTTGGCAATCATCCTACCCCAGATCCCCCGACGCCTTTTGCAACTAATTAGTGAAACAGGATAATTAGTAATCAACCAAAATCAGAAGAGGAAAAAACGACTCATTAGTAGTTTTTTTTAAACTTTCGGCAGCTCCGAGTAATATTATTAAATAAAAAAGGTAAAAAGAGTGATAAATACTCTAATTTCAAGGCACGTGAACCAACAGCAAACAACATGACTGTTTATAATAATACATTTTCAAAAATACCAAAATTAGAAATACATGTAACAAACATGGAGTAGAATTGCGGTTAAAAATATTTGTAATAATAATAATAGCACTAATAAAACCCTGTGTACTACCGTAATGTTTCGGAATTGCAAAAGAGGCTATGGTTGACCTTAAAACCATAGGCAAAAGTACATTATTCGCCTAGCGAATGATGCATTTGTATTGCTAATGAATTTCATAAGTGTCTTGTAGAAAAGTCTTTCACGGATCATTATTCAAAAGATTTATGCCTTTTACTGTTGTAGGATAAATAAGCTTCTTTCTGTAATTAGTAATAATAATAATAAATACAGTAAAGTTTAAAGAGGTGAAGTAAAATGAAATTAGCTTAGGTGTTTAGAAAAAAACAACTATGCCCTCCCTATCCATGGTAATGGTGTAATAAATATCTGAACAATATAAGTAAGTTTAATGTGATATGTTTGGAGGTAGGTGTGTACTTGACAGGAAACCGTGAACAAAAGTTTCATGCCCGTTTTTGGTACTCTTCACACAACAAGGAACTGATGTCCCCTATGTTAGCTTCGAACCCACGTCAACCTGTCAGAAAGGTTTCCACTGAACTGTTTCTACTACCCATGATTAACATCCTACCGGACTATCATGGATACATTGATTCATACGCTTGGGAATAAATGGTATCATCTATATAGTTCTTAGTGGTGCACTGAATGAATTCTATCAAAGATAAGGTTGAAAATTAAAAAATTTATTCCTTTACGTTTCTAGTGGAACACTTAACTTCAAGATAGAGTTTTGAAGGATCAGTAGCGGTGGTTTTATTTCTACGGGTGAAGTTGCTAGCTTCATGCCCAACCTTGCCTCTTTACAGATCTTTCTACCGGCTTAGAGAGGTTTACGAGTGCGTCGGCCGGGGATTAAACCCCAGACCACGTTTGTGGTTGGTGAACGTTACAGAGCTGAACCACCAACGCAGGGTGGTAAATAGGTGAATTCAGGCTACATTATACTGTATAACATTATGTAACATAAGTCGAACTGACTGAGTGGTTTCTATATAGAACTTTGCATTAATGTGCAGCAGTTCAAGTTGCCACTTTCCCTCCACAAAGCACACAAAGGAAGAGAAGAGAGAAAAGAGAGATAATAACTAGAAGTGTGAGGGATAAAGAATAGTAATACGGAAGAACAATTGGGTATTATAAATCATGTGGAGTGAATGTATCTATGTTATCAACGAGAACGATTTTGAACCATATCACTAATTTTCTCCCGCCGTCATTGGTTCTTACCATCCGAGGACCCTAACCTCCCTATGTGATGGCTTAAACTAACTGTTATGAACTTGACTGATTGATGATGCTATGTTTTGGCTTGAGCACCACTAGCTTCTTTCCAACCTGATCCATCCTATGTCAGCTAATATTGACCGCCACCAGGGAAGGCAATGGCTAGGCATCCAGGAGCAACACATGTCCTAACTATCTCAGTTTATGTAACATCTCAACCACATAGACTGATTTCCCCTCCTCATCTAACACGCGACGCCTAACCTCAATATTACTCACCCTATTATACCACCTAAGACAAGAGATAGAACATAGACACCTATGATGAAAGACAGTTAAACAGTTTTATGACGCTAATTGAAAGACTAGTGCATCGGTGGCATAGCGGTAAGGACGCTCGCTGACCATGCACATGGTCCGGGATTCGATCCCCGGCCGACTCACTCCTTTACCAGAATCAATTCTGGTAAAGAGGAAAGGTTGGGTATGAGGCTAGCAACCCCATCCTGTAAAATAAACACTGCAACAGAAACTTCAGGCCACTAGCTTGGAGCCCTATGTTCCACTGGGGAACGTGAAGGAAAAAAAACTGAAAGACTATAATCCTTTAATATAAGAGAAGATAAGTGATCAATTCAATATACATTTGATAATTATTCATTGTTCTTTGAGTTTCGATATTCATTCAGGATATCTTTTTTAAACTTACCCATTAACAGAACACAAAAAGTAATACCACTAGGTATTGTTATGAATCGAAATCAATCAAAATTTCATTGTAAGAGAAAAAGACACTGAAGAGCTGTTTTTCCATACATACATACACTGTGTGAACCATATGTTAATGAGACAGTCAGATGAACAAGTTAGCATTTCCAGCTAGTTGTCAGAATCGACTGATTCAATAATCACCACTTCCCCCCTCCACGCACTGGAACTTCAGAATGTATCTGTGCCACCATTGGTTATTTATCCACCACCTGAGGCGAATAATCTTATCACTTCTATAAAGGAACTTAATAGTAAGTGATGACGAAACCTGTGATACAAGTCCAGAGTTAACTCACATCAACCCTAAGGAGAACACTCGTAACCGAATTATACTTACTGCATAATGTGAACTAAATATGCACTGTTCGTCATTGTTAAATTACTGCTGGAACAACTGACATACAAAAGTGAAGGTTGTTCAATAAGTGTTCATTACAATAGACACACAAGTTGACCCACACAAATATTATATCAGTTTCGAGTTCGAATAGGCTCCTAACATATTTCAGCCTATGCGATATCCAGTAGTTGTAGGTAAGCTCTAATTTAGACTCAGACCGTAACCAACTTTATATATATATATATATATAGGATAGACTGACAACCATTCAGATCTGCTTACTTTACACTTTGTAGAACATGTAAAATAACATACACATATAATACTGATAATTTAATGTATAATAAACAAAAAAAATAACTTGACTGATCTACTTCTTACGTATTGAATATACTATCATAGTACCTTTCTGAATGATCAATGTTCAAGTAGTAATTAAAAGTATTTAAACTAAAAGTTAGGCAACTTTAACTAGATAAAAACTATATATATGTATATATATACCTACACATGTATACATAAGTCGAATTTCATAGTTCAGTCGCACAAACACACATACCTGAACAAACAGGTTCTTAAACAAACATACACGTACTCAAGTTATCGCTTTAATTAATCATAAAGTAAAAGGAATATCATGAATGTAGATTAACAGCATGGCGAGAGAGAGAGAGAAAGAATCAGTGATGCAGAGATTGATAATACACGATCTAGTATAACTAATATAGACTTTTCACTCCGCCACAAATTGAAATAACAGTAACAATAATAATATGAATCTTAGGAATATCGACAGTCTTAGCGTACATCAATATAACACAGAGATAGACAAACAGTCAGTTACCATGTCGTCTCGAATGTGTTAATTCAAGTTGTTTTTATTTTACTCAATGAGGTGGAAAAAAAATGCACCAACTGAGCAGCAGTATAACATCAGTCTCATTATCATATCGCTTCAGAGACGGAAAATGTATTCAACAGCTTTATGAAGTGTCTCATGCACATAAACAGAGGATAACAGATTTGAAACAAAATGCATGCGTACCAACAGTCTAATATTCGGATACAGTGTTCCTCTAAG